ACTGGTATTTAAGAATATACATATATGTTTATGTGTGTGTATTTTTGTTACAAAGTTAATGATAAAGTTTATTACAAACATTTCATTATTTACTGGTATTTAAGAATATACATATATGTTTATGTGTGTGTATTTTTGTTACAAAGTTAATGATAAAGTTTATTACATACATTTCATTATTTACTGGTATTTAAGAAGATACATATATGTGTGTGTGTGTGTATTTTTGTTACAAAGTTAATGATAAAGTTTATTACAAACATTTCATTATTTACTGGTATTTAGAAATATACATATATGTTTATGTGTGTGTATTTTTGTTACAAAGTCTTTTATTCTTTCTAATTTTTTAATTAAGTGCATTTTAAAATTGTGTATTGTTTATACATCATTAAGTACTGTTGATTGCCATAAATAAAAATAACGTGTAAAAATACCTTCACAATTTTTAACCCCATATAGCCAAGGCAGCAGTTGGTAACATTAAAGCTGAGTCACTGTCCGAGATACGTTCACTCAGAGCTCCACCAGATGTCATTAGAGATATCTTGGAAGGAGTGCTACGACTCATGGGGATCCTTGACACATCTTGGGTCAGTATGAAAAGGTAAATGGTTGTGATATACTTGAATTTGTGTAACTTCCACCAAAAGGACTTCTTGGTTTGGTAATAAAGTTCCAATTTTATATGCTGGAAGTGTGAATATAAAATAAATACTATCTATGAAACTTTTAATCACAAGTAACCTAAAATTCTATTTGTTTTATGCTGAAAATTGATGATATATATACAAAGCAAATACATAAATAAGATCTCTCCCTTCTTACATAAAAGATAAACATAAACTAACAAGATGTATTATAGTAAGAGGTGAATGAAACATATAAGTTTTACACGTGTATCAAAGTGAAAAGAGTTTCAATAAACATACTGATTTTACACACATTCTATAGGAAGGAGTTTCACTAAACATACTAACTTTACAGACATATTCTAGAGGAAGGTGTTTCACTGAACATACTAACTTTACAGACATATTCTAGAAGAAGGAGTTTCACTAAACATACTAACTTTACAGATGTATTCTATAGGAAGGTGTTTCACTAAACATACTAACTTTACAGACATATTCA